GCAAATGGGAATTCAATTTATTTTATCTGCTGCCTTGTAGTGAAACGGTCTTTTCAGGATTTAAGCATAGCATTGGAATTGGCAGCGGTTACACTATCGAATGATCACTATTAGTCCGAATAAAAGCTCTGCCCGGCGAGAAATATGCGCTTCTGCAACGCAAGAATTATCCTGTAGCAATTCAAAAGAAGGGTGTTTTGAAAAACCGGTGGCGCGAGGTTGTGGCCTGAAGTGTCAGTTTTCGAAAAGTTACTATCACTTTTCTGGAAATTTCCCGTCCCTAATTTCAATTGGATTTCACAGCGTTATAGAGTGGTGTTTTGAAAAATCTGCGATGTGGGGCTGTAGCCAGAAATCTCAGCTTTCAAATGGCTACTAACACTCCTGAGAAAACTCCTGCATAGCGAATGAGGTCCGTTTTTCGCTGGCCCCTTTAAACCGAAAAGTGCCAAAAAGCGGATATCGGGTGGGAAATGTGCGCAAAGAGGAAGAGAGATAGAGAGCGGGAGAGAGAAGGAGAGAAGGAGGAAAAGAGTCCTACTAACGACTCAAAACAAGAACATAAATTTCTACTTGACTATCTTTGACAACTCGTTCAAAACAGTATAATCAGATAGCATATTTTAGGCGTTTTCAGAGATCTCATCTGGCATCTTTATATCCACAGGCACGCTTTGGTTAATTCTCGCAAACCTCACCGGTAGCACATGCCGTTCGATTCAACCGTTCCCCTACAGCTTCGGGTAGCGAAATCTCAAAAACAATAAATTTAGATAAGGATATTAGATGTTTTGAGCCGATAGGTCTAGTGCTATATAGGCGCCTATTTCGTCCTATTGGGACGCATCAGTAGCACCCTCGCTCGGTTCCATCGATTCCTCGAGGCTAAATAATCCTCTAAAGAAATCGACGCTGAGTAAAAATTAATCACCTCAAGTCGGATGATGGTCTTACCTGACTTTGTGGTGACCGGCAGTCGAGCTTGCGGCTTTTAGAATGAACCATACCTCTGCTATCGACCGCTCTTTTACAGACCCGCAGGAGTCAGGTAAGACCATCATCCGACTTGAGGTGATTAATTTTTACTCGGCGTCGATTTCTTTAGAGGATTATTTAGCCTCAAGGAATCGACGGAACCGAGGGAGGGTGCTACTGATGAGTCCCAATAGGACGAAATAGGCGCCTATATAGCCCTAGACCTATCGGATCAAAACATGTCATATCCTTATCAGATTAAATCATTTTGAGCGGGTCTGTAAAAGAGCGGTCGATAGCAGAGAATAAATTTAGAGGGAAATTACTACAAGCGTTCTCACCGAACATGCGCAATCGACTATAAATCACTGCATTGTCGAGTAATCTTTTCACTTGACGTGCAGTAGTACATGTTCGGCACCACCCACTACCCTCAGTTGTAGGGAAACGGTTGAACCGATTGGCATGTGCTACTGATGAGGCTTGACAGAAAGCGAAGACGTCCGTCTAGTACTAGAGATGCCACAGCCGACCTCCGAAAGACTTGAATTATGCTACAAAAATACACATTCAATGATGTTCAAAGATATACAAAACTTTGAATGTCAGGCGGGAATCGAACCCGCCATTCATCCTCAACGAGGGGAGCGGCTATCCCATTACACTAGTGCAAATCCCCCTACTTCTAGCATTCAATCCGTTTCTTCAAGAACGCCGTAGAACACTGACTGAGCGAATCTCGTTGTAATCTGAAGAAGGCCTGGCTGTGGCGTTCCATAGGGCGCTCGTAGTTCATTGCCTGAGAGGGCTGGGAGGTGGAGCTCCGCTCCGCTGCGACGAGCAACACAACCACTCGGCTACGGCGCGCCCGGATACATGTAAGGATGAAGGCTGAGTTATCGGCGTTGATCAACTCATTAGGGATGCGCCATGCATCCGTCTCAATTTTTTAACTTCGTGTAAGATCACTGAATGCACATCTGGCATTCACGATGACTCGCGATGGCCTCCCACTGTATCAAGGCAGTGCTGCTTATCCTCCAAGACAAGTCTGCGACCAGTCCGGTATCAATTTAACGACCCCGGAGGGATGGTCGGCTTGATAAGCCATGAGCGCGAGATCGAACCATCGACCATATGTGCCGAGCATCTCTTACCACTGCACTCCATGCGCTCTTGTAGACATATAAATTTACATGCATATGTACATATGTACATGCTATATATATATATATATATATATGATAAAGGATAAAAAAGCTCTCGACGTTGATCAATCCCTGAGGGATGCGCCATGCATTCGATTTCAATTTTTAACTTCGTTTGAGGTGATTGAATGCATATCTGGCCTTTACAATGACTCGCGGTGGCCTCCCGCTGAACCGAGTCAGTGCTGCTTATCCTCCCAGACAAGTCTGAGGCCTGTCTGGTACCAATTTACCGACCCCGGAGGGATGGATGGCTTGGTGAGCCATGAGCGCGAGATCGAACCATTGACCTCGTGAGCGACGCAGAGCACCTCTAACCACTGCGCCACATGCGCTCTATAATATATAATATATATACATGCGTGTGTATATATGTATATGCTATATATGTGCATATATATACATATATATATATTTGTAATAAAATACTATCGCTGAAACGGTCAAATAGAGAGAAATTCAAATTGTATCGATGCAAGATTGTCGTCCAACAAGCTGCCACTCGAAGGCTCGACATCATGCAAATCAAAAAGAAAGAGGTGGAACGCACACTCAGTAATGATCGGTAGGGTAACAGTTTACGAAGAAGAAAGAAATGATAGAGAAAAAAAAACTCAAGAAGGACTGAACGTTCCGCGTCGACAAATCCCTGAGGGATGCGCCTTGTCCTCGACTTTATCAAGCATCGTTTGAGATGAACGAGTGTATATATGGTCTATACGATGATTCGCGGGTGATCTACCGATGCATCAAGTCAGAGCTGCCGACCTCCCAAACAAGTCTGCGACCATTCCACGAACCTCGAAAAGACGGAAGGTTTGATGAGCATGAGCGCGGGATCGAACGACCGACCTCGTAAGCGAAGCAGGGTGCCTATGACCACTGCGCCATACGCAATCCTCAAGGAGAAAACAAATGGATCAAAAGACGGTCGAGATTACCGAGATAGAGTGACGAAGTGCTAGCCGATAATTGGCAGAGCCGAATCTCCGATCGGCTCATTGTGCATTACACTAAGTGCTTTCTATTTGACGGCCAAAATTCGAATGCTGCGAGGACTTGAGTATACTGTAGCTAAGTGTGTGGATCTCGGGTGGATTCCTATGAACGGTGACCTTTCTCTAGTTCTGGCTGTTTAGTAAAATTCCATTTCATCGCCCTACGGTGAGGTATTGGGGCGGGTGGCGCAGTGGTTAATCGTGCTGTGTGTCAGGAAGAAAAGCGAGAAGCAAGGCGCCGGTTCGATCCCCTACAGGTACATTCTTTTGCAATCAAGCAACTAAACGCCTTAGGGAAAGTCTTAGCTGGGCTACTTTCAATATTGCAGAAATAATCATCCGAACCATTATTATAAGGCGTTTATGAAGGAAAGGAATTTACTAGGTTGGAAAGAAAGTTTTTATCGTGTGATAAAACTTCCAGATTTTATGCATATATTCAGGCAACAAACAGCAGCAACTATTCTTCAGAATACAGGCCATCACTATCCACCACTTTTTGCCTTCGGTCCGCAAGGTTTCGAATCCGATCGAGGTACCACTCCTTCGGCTTTGAATCAAAGAACTCTTGACATGCTCCTTCAACTTCATCGAAAGATTCAAATCGACGACCTTCCAAAAAGTGTTGCATTGACCGGAAAAGGCCGTAATCAGATGGAGCAACGTCCGGACTGTAGGCTGGATGCGGTGGAATCTCAATTCCGTCCAATTCCTCGAACTTTGCCTTGGTCTTTTTGGCTATGAGTGGCTTTGCGTTGTCTTGCTGAGAGAAAGCGCGCTTTCGACGAACAAGTTCTGGGTAGTTCTCGGCCAACTAGTCGTAAACTCGGTCCAGCTGCTCGCAATAAAGATCGCGTTGATGGATTCGCTATTCAAAACAAGTTCGAAATGCGAAATCCTTTCCACCAAACGCAAATTATGATCTTTTTGCCAAATTGATTTTGACGCGGTACTCGTAAAGCATCAACAAACGTTTTTGTTCCTTGGACAATACCATTCTGCAACAGATATAGACAAATTATATATCAATAGATGCGCGAGTAGACCTTTCAAATTATATGAAAATGACACGCGATTCATGCGATAAAAAGGCATTTCCATCCAAACAATGGAAATTTTTTCCAACTTAATATCAAGCAACAGCCGAAGAGACACGTGAAACGTTTGCAGACGTTTCTCGAGAGGGAATGCGAAGAAATGCATCGAACGCTAGGTGGCTATTATCAGCACACTTTGTGATGGCTTGGGCAGAAGAGTTGGAATATGTGGATAAGTTCGGTACATCTCATTATCATCGTGGATCGAGATAGGGCAGGTTTTCAGACCTTAAAGCTAATAAACGTTTTATTCTCACAATTTTCCTCGAGCACTTCTTTATTTTGAGTTAGCTAGGCGTCAGTCTTATCATAGTGGTAAGATCACTTTTATGCATAACGTCTGTGCGTATAGCACAGCTTTCCAGTTTTACGAAAGACCACGACATCAGGATTCCGGTATTGTGGAACTTTGATTAGGACTTTTGTGGGAACGGTATTCATAGGGAATAGAAGAAAAGTCCCTGGTGACTTCGACACCTCTTCGTGGTCAAGATCTAATGTTGAGATATGAATTCAACTCGCGGAGTTCTTCCTAGAAGTAAACGAAAAGACCACAGATTTTGATGACCACATGAATATACGTATTGCAGTGGTCCACAGTTGTACCAAGCCAGTGGTGCTTCTATGAATGCTTTTGTTTCGACAATGTTAAATTCATTCGAAACCAGATCTTACTCATTCCGAGTGCATAGCAGAGAAAAAAAGAGTGGAGCGCAAAACGAGCGCCGGTGGGACAACGGTTTAGCACATACTCCCGGAAAGAGTAAGGTCTGGGTTCAAATCCCTGTTGAAGCAAGTGTTTCTGCACACCACTTTACACTACTGGGTTTATTCTAACATCATAACACCGCAATACGTGGTCAAATAAGATAAATTCTCAATGTTAAATTCCTTCTTCAAATCGTTGGAAGCGAGACAGAGCGGTCACATGTACACTTGTATAACTTCAGTGAATCATTTAATCGTGTGAATGTGGCCTCTATTGCCAAATATTTTTCAAAATTCTGCTCATTCGCTTGTCTGCCATTCGCCCAGTGTTCTGTCAGTCCTCTTCAAGACGACTCGAGTGAAGAATCCCTAGATGACACGTAGTAGATAGATTCGTCAATAGTTGCCGATTTCATGAAATCTCCCTTTTCAAAAAATAACATGTCTTCACTGGCTTTTATCGACCATCAACCTTGAATCTACCTGGTAACAAGTGAAGAGCAAGGTCACGACACTGACACAGTGGCGGGAATCTTAGGTGCTCTGATCTTATCCTTTCGCAAACCGGGTGTTGTTATATTCTTCTGACGAAAAGACGTGCCGCATTTCGACAGAAAACCGGTAAAGCGACAAAGTCATCCTCTTCCATTTTACGCGAGGTAAGAGGACGTGAATATTGAAGAAGTTCAAGCAGTGATCGTGAAAATTTTCTCCATTGCCGTTCTGGAAGTTGTAGGTGTCTTGTTAGAACGCCGGAGTGTAATCATTCCGGTCTTGTAAATGACGAAGCTTCGGTGGACTATGAGAATGCTCTTCGCAGCTTCCGCGTCATTGGTCCTGGCTGCTGCTCTTCTCTTTTCGAGATCCTCTTTCACCGCTTCTCTGCAGCATTTCGCAAGTTCGTATGTCACTTGTTGACTGGTTGTGCGATTCCACACTGGCGCATGAGCTGAGTGTTTCGGGAGTCAAATGTCTCTTGGTGATTTTCAAACTCCTGGTTTTTATAATGATAACATGGAATTTTGAATGAGATGGTCGTGCTCTTCGTCAATTTTGATGAAGATAGTATCATTCCAAGAGCTAAACAACGATTTGGATATATCCTAGCTTATGGTAGTACAAGAATTTGGTTTCTTGAATTCAGTAACGTTCTCTCTTTCTTGCGAAAAATAGAGTGCTGCACGAAAAAAACGATGATTCAATCTCACGCACTTTTGGAACGACCCCGAGATCGGTCAAATAGAACTTTCGAATCATTAGATATACATCTATTACGTTATGATGTCTTCCATGGAGAATTTACAAGTTCAGCACTGAAAGTGGGGTTCTGGAGTTGTAGGCTATCATGGATGGTTTTCATCGTCACAATATACTGAGAGAGCCTCTCACCCATTGGTTCTACCCTACATGCCTAACCAGTATGCATGTGGTCTGTTATGGGCACTTATACAGTGAAATAAACGTGTTCGCGCCTTCCTGCCTAGTCTGTTGCGCGTTCTCTTTCGTCTAAGCCAATCCTTCTTGAGGGGAGGAGCGGGGGAAACCCCTATAGATAGGGGAACCGCAGACCTGTTATTTACGCACGCTGTCAGATAATAAAAATCACGACGGCTGTGCAGCCGATGCTGTTGGCTGGTAACGTGAAATATCACACCAATCGCTCCGCGTGTTTTTTTAAGACTACGCTTAGATTTCAATCTGCGTGTTGGTTCCAATGAGAGCTCTTCTAGGTTTAGCTCTCTTTAAAAACTCATATGATGACCTTGAATAATGTATGGGCCTTTCTGAAGAAGTTTCCGAGGTCCATACAGCACACTTCGATTTCGTTGTCGTCATAGTCTGCTGTTGGTGCGCTAACAACGAACGTGGTCCGAACAGGCATTAATTCACATCGCTCAAACTGCAATCATCTTATCAGGATGTTAGTTGTCTTAATGAAGCGATGTTTATAGTTATCCTCATTTTGACGAGAACGTCAACGCTGCCGACATTTACGATTGCTTGTTGAAATAAACAATCGTTTTACGATCTCACGGAGAACATAAAATGGGTAGCGTCTTTTCTTTTTAGCTGAGCAGATGACATTGTACCTTATCCTTCTCGTCAGCATTATTAGATCCCTTGTACAAATTTCGTATGCAAGTGTAGGAGCATAAAAGCTCAGAATACCACTTTATCACTTTACAGTGTGATTTAAACAGCCTAGTTTGGACCCGTGATTTTAGCGGCTTCTCCGTACTCGTTCTTTTTCGAGCTGCGAAACCGGACTTTCTTCCAGGGTAAGAAATTGTGATCCACTTTCTTGAAACTTTCTTTAGCATTTCACATCCAACGTGTCGATTGCTGAGCTCTAAAGTTACGCTACCACTACGGCAACCACATACTAGTGGTACGTATGATATGGTGACTCAACTGATCTTTGACTGTCAAAAATAATATCAGCTAACTGATGTCGAACTGGTGATCATACGAAAAATGAGCTATTTGAAATTATAACTGAGGTGGCGATTGAGTTTGCAATAATGAAAAAATCTCAAGTGGCGACTAGTGCTCATTAAGTTTTTAATTCCTTGAGTTTAAGATGCAAAATCGAATGATATTTTGGCATGAATAAGAAGTCTTATCATAGGTTTAGCACTAAAGGAATAAGCAGCAAATTTATCATCCAGAAATGATCAGAATTGCTCCACCCACTGTTCAAAATGTGCGCTATCAGCCCGAAAACATTTCCTCATCTGCCAGGCACTCGAATTGAGATGCATGTCACCGAATTGACAAAGAAGAAGCTGAGCGAACTCGGCAGGAAGGTGCTGGGTCATGCGCCGTACGACACCATTCCCCGTAATATCACGAATGTTCTCTACCTTTTTCCAGGTCAAATTTCTTACTTTGTAATCTCTGATAATGTAATTTCATGTGCTATGTTTCGTAAGTCTATGTTATGCATCGAAAGGCGATTGCATTTGGGTGCGCTCTGAATGATTACTATAAATGGAACACTACTGCAACACAAACGACTCTCTTTTGCACTTTTGGATCAATCGCGTAGTCGAGCTTATTATGGTCAATGTACTTTCCACATGATCCATTGATAAAATGTAAACTCTGGTCTTATGCTGGTGCCTCCATCACTCACTTCAACTTTATTCTCCTCTAACTTGAAATCCGCCTCTTGAGAAGACGCATATATTGCCGGAGGTTAATTGTAAGCTCCTCTTCGACTTGCTAATGTTTTTTTTTTTGAAGATAAACGATAATCCAGTACAAGGCGATCAATACAGAGCAACTAGTAAAAATGTCACGTGGCCTAAGCTACTCTAACAACTCAATATATCCACTGAACTGCCTTTGCTACAAGATATATGTGATATGGTACGCCTGGCTCTGATGATGGCGATGTTAGTGAAACGTATGTAAGCCAAAGACCATATCAGACCTCAAAAAGGCCTAAAACAAGATCCTATCAAACCTTAGGAATACGGTGTTAAATCTAAAGATGACATTGAAATGACTGAATACGTAACAGTTGCTTACGATGAGTTCCTGCATTGGAATACATTGCCAAAAGAGTTTTTCATCGTTGTGCTTTACTGCACTATTTAAGTCATCGTGGCTCTGATGGAACCGAAGACTGCGAAACATAGACCGAACAAAACTTTAATAACATCCTTGTGTTAATTCGATAATTCGGCAAAACATAAGTAACAATGGTCCATTGGTGTGACAGTATTGTGTGTTCATCTTATCTTGGTTCCTACTGTCACAGCTCCATGAAACTGGGCGACTACTCTATTACCATGTGGCTTTGGACCGATCAGAGGGCGCTTACATTGCAGAGCATCTCTTTCGAGTAATCGCTGGAGTTCTGGGAGAAAGAAAAGCCTTGGAGGCAGTCTGACCTCGGCCGGGCTCCTGAACTACTCCTTTTTCCAAGACAAGTTCTTTGAGCGAATCCTTTTGTTTCATGTGAATTCCATCAATTCCATTGTCATTTTGACGTTTTAAATGGTCAGTGAGTGACAGAGAAGAATAATACCACTAAACATTAAATTTGACTTTCTCTGACTGCAGTATTGGCTAAGAGAAGCGCCACAGAGCTCCATCATACTCCAGTGATTGAGCCGATTACGACTGTTATCGTAGTCTGTTCATTCTCGTCATAAAAGTACATCGACTATAACTTTAGAATGTTTCTTGATTACCATCCAATTCATAGTGTTCTCATTTGTCAAGCTTCCAAGTTTTCAATTTTTCTCAGGTTTATTCTGAATTCTGCAAGTTATATAGCATCTTTGCGCGTTGAAAGCTCTATTTCTTGTTCATCCTTCTCCAGCACAGTCTGCGATGTAAAATAGTAGTTTACTGTTGCCAAGATATGAGCAATAAATTGTGAACCTCAGGCTGACTGCGAATCAGTTAGTAGCTATTCTAGCGAATTATGTGCTATGTAACACACCAGCCTACTTCTTCGCTTTGCCTTCCTCTTGGCGGCGCATTATACTATCGCCGCTATAAGCAATTATGAACAGCGGGATGATCTGAAGTACAAAGTTTGGCACTGAGCAATTCAAGCTGAGGCAGCAATAAAATCTCAACTATTCAACTTTTATTTATTGTATATTTTTTGGCTCCTTTTTGTAAAGAAGCATTCGATAGCGTCAAAACGAATGCACTCTTAATAACACTTGTCGACCAAAGAATAGATCCGTCCCACATGCATCATTTAATACTATGCGTTCACTGCTGTTTCATATTCTTTAAGCCTTGTAATCAGTGACTAGCTTGGAACTTCTACCTGAATCAGCGTAATTCTAAGAAATAAATCAACTCTAGTTTGAGTGCGACAAGCTATAAGTTGCAGCGGCGAGTGACATCGCTAAACGAGATATCACGGAACACCGTCTTGTCACGAAAATCTGTTTGTTCAAGGATAAGATAACTTGCACAACCAGAAGAGCATATATCAAGTAGAATTTGGTAGCTGCGATCTAAGTATACGAGTTCTACGACAATCAGCCTGTGTAAGTACGTGGACATTGAAACCACATTCAATTCAGCTCCTACAGTCTATGTCATGCTATATGTGC